TAAGTCTAAGTATCCATAAGGAAATATAACTAACCTGTAACAGTTACTGTAAATGTGCAACTACCAGTATTTCCTGAAGAATCAGTAGCTGTATACGTTAAATTGGTTGGTCCTATCACAAATTGAGCTGGAAATGATGTTGTAGTCGTTGAAACAAGAGTTTCCCCTGAGTTGTCAGTTACTGTAACATCCGAAGCATTATATGTGACAGTAGCTGTCGACATTCCTCGGTCAGTTGATAAGCTGGTGTCAGGGGGACATGTCAATACAGGATCTTCGCTATCTGTAGAGTACATTAGATTTACATAATAAATAATTGTTTGTTGGAAAGCCTGCAAAGTATCACTTGTAGAGTATTTTTGCTTAAGCATAAGTTTATATGGAGTAAGTCCATGTATAGATAACAAAATATAACTAACCTTCAACCATTACTGTAAACGTGCAACTACCGGTATTTCCGGAGGAATCAGTGGCTGTATACGTTATATTATTTGATCCTACCACAAATAGAGCTGGAAATGATGTAGTAGTAGTTGGAACAAGAGTTTCCTCTGAGTTGTCAGTTACTGTAACATCCGAAGCATTATATGTGACAGTAGCTGTCGACATTCCTCCGTCAGTTGATAAGCTGCTGTCAGGTGGACATGTCAATACAGGATTTTCGCTATCTGTAAAGTACATTAGATTTACATAATTGTTTGTTGAAAAGCATACAAAGTATCACTTACATATTATTTTTCCTGAAGCATAATTTCATACGGAGTAAGTCTATGTATACATAAAGAAATGTAACTAACCTGTAACCATTACTGTAAATGTGCAACTACCGGTATTTCCAGAAGAATCGGTGGCTGTGTACGTTATATTATTTGGTCCTATCACAAATTGAGCTGGAAATGATGTTGTGGTAGTTGGAACAAGACTTTCCTCTGAGTTGTCAGTTACTGTAACATCCGAAGCATTATATGTGATAATACTGAAACATCCGAAGAATTATATGCGACAGTAGCTGTCGACATTCCTCCGTCAGTTGATAAGCTGGTGTCAGGTGGACATGTCAATACAGGATCTTCGTTATCTGTAAAGTACATTAGATTTTAATAATATATAATTGTTTGTTGAAAAGCCTATAAAGTATCACTTGTAGAGTATTTTTGCTTAAGCATAATTTT